GACTGTATGGTGTGTTTATGAATATTTTAGCTCCTAGCCGATTTTACATATGACATATCATGTGAGACCCACAATTCTCACTCAATGGACGTCAAGTCTTTGCTATATAATTAAGATTTTTAAGAATTGATGAGTAAAATCGTGCTATACTTGAGTTAGTGATGTTAGTAGTTAGTTGCTTTGCAAAAAACTTATATTTCCTCCATCCTAAATTATAAAATATTTTTAAAGAAATTTTTTCATCTCAAAATATAAAATACTTTGAATAAATTAAAGTTTCATTAAATATGTTAATTTCAATATTATCCTCTCTTTATAATTAATTTTCGTCCCTTCTCTTTTTAATATATTAAATGATGGATATTTTTAAAAATTTATATTTTTATTTTAAAAAGATAAAGTTATTAAGTGTATTTAATGAGGTTTATTGATATGTAAAATTTTATTTAAAAGTATCTTATAATTTAAAACGGATGAAATATTATAGATCAGAAAAATACACTTTAATGCAAATTTTAAGTATCCTTATTTATGATAAAACATTAATTACAAACTATACAGCATATACTCAACCACTAGTCATATTCAACCCAAACAACTTAAGTGTTTAATTATGGGGGTAAGACTTCCTGCAAACAAAATGTGCAATCATTAAGCAAACTCAAAGAAATTCAAACTTAATTAAATCCAATGCGTACTCTCAACAAACAAGTAAGTTACACGTGTCATTTTTTCAACCACCCATTATGTTTTAGCGTGGAAAAAAATGAGATTACTAGAGTTTAAGGTCATTTTTTAATGAATATTTGTATATTTTTTAAATAAAAATATCTGTATAACTTTGACCAACTTTAACAATAAAATGTGTGTGTGTGTGTGTTTTAAATTTGATGGATGTGATACTTTAGCTATGCAACAATTCCAGCTATACTATTATTATTTAAGGCTGCGTAAAATATATATATATATATATATATATGTTTATTGATCTTGATTGCTGTGAATAAAAAATTTTAATTCTGCCTTCACAGGTGTGGGCCAGTTCTAGTTTTGTAAAAAACAGACAAAATCATACTCCAATCAAAACACCACAAGCTAAGCGTATGATTCCATATATGTATATTATCGAATTAAATATTAGGGAACCATGTATTATAATTAGAATATGAAGAATTGTATCAAAATCTAATATTTAAAAAAATGCAATTAGATTAATACAGAAGGATAATAAATATGTGGGGTCATATTTTGGTGCGCAAGTGGCTGATGATCGCCTATGATCTATATGAAGTATAAAATATTTTATGCCTACTTAATATATATATATATATATATATATATATATATGTATATTTGCGTGTGCATGCATGTAGTTCACGAGACGAGTTTAAAGTTCACAAGAAGAACAAAAAGACGGCTCAGAAGCTTTCTCTCACTAAATTGTACATACATGACACCCACCTGGCTGCTATTAATTCTGTTTATGTTTGTCACCACGTAGACCAAAAATAATTAAAATAATAAATAAACAAATACTGAAAACAAAGCCCATCAACTAACAAGGCAACAATTGTTGGTTAATTGGAGACGAGTTATGACAATTTAAATATAACGTCTTGAATTATGTATATAAGATGCTAATAAAGCAAATTTTGGAAGTTTTTTTCCTCCTATTTTTAGAGTGATTAATTTTATTTTCCTATTTTGCCCTTTGTTTATTAATTTATTATGGTTTAAATTTCTAGACAATAATTTATTATAGTTACTAATTACTAAAAAGGGTAAAATTGAAAATTAAAGTTGCATTTTTATTTATAATTTTAATGATGTAACAAACATTTTTTAGTAAACATGAAATTAGTTAAATTTGTCTTGTAATATATGTGTGCCTGTGTGTATTTTTATTTTTTTAGATTTGAATTTTGTTAGACTTGATTGATAGAAAATAGCTCTCATTCATAGCAGTGTGATTTTTCTTAGTTAAATTTTTAGAGGTACTTACACTCACTGTGACATTATAAATCAGGGATGGATTTATCTTCCCCATTATGTAGTTCTTATATCAGTCTCTGCTATCGCCTATTAATAAATTCAAACTCGTGTAATGGTGAGATAAGAGGCCATGCCAATATAATGAAGGAAAAATTAATCTTTTAATTTTTAACTTACTTGTAACTCAGTCTTTCAACTATAACTCATTGCGACTCATTCCTTTAATTATAACTCGTTGCGACTCAGTCCCTCAACTTTTGATTCACTTATAATTTGATCCTTATTTTTAAATTTTTAAAAAAAATTTCTTATCAAATAAGAGGGATAAAAAATGTTCATACATTATTCTAAAATACCCTCATCTTGCTCATTGATGTGAGATATAAGCTAATATAAAAAAATTAATAAAAGTTCAAGGACTAATTTGTAAGTGATTCAAAAGTTGAAGGATTAAGTCATAGACTAGTCATACTTGAGGGACTAAGTTACAAGTAACTTAAAAGTTGGAGGACTAAAAGATCAATTTTTTCTATAATGAATATGTGATGTTATTTTTAATTCGCAATATTTGAATTCTCAATTGAATTTCTTCCACTTATTAACTTAACACACACACACGCACGCATATTAAAATAAGTGAACATGTGGGTTTTTGTGTCTGAAGGTACATATAACAACTTAGAAAATGGACATGTATTGTGTATATATATATTCATTACAGGACCAGCAAGTTGTGCGTGCAAGATCTAAAAGTTATAGCATGTTGGGATTGATTACAAGATGTCATGAATCCATGATACCGTGATTGCTCTCACACCTAATAAAAATAAATAATATTTAAATATTAGATGTTAATAAAAAAAACCAAAAATGTCTGCTCAGAATCCAGATAGATATGAAAATTCAAATTGTTAAACTTCAATTAATATTATGTATAATTGCTCAACAAGAATTCATTATTGCGTCGATTGGCCATTATTTTATTAAGTACTATAATATATCTTATTAAGTATTATGTTTTTTTAACTTCGGTTGTTTTGCCTTGGTTATGATTATAATATATGAATATAATTAATTAAACAAATTTGAAAGAATCATAATCAAATTTGGAACTATCATTGGTGTGAGAGGGGAAAGATAAAGGGATTTAAAGAAAACCAATAATTTTAAGTTGGCGTTTTTGTAAATAAGATGTGCATGAGATCAAATTGCGAGTGAATAGAAAAATGGAAGACTTATTGATAAATAATTAATCTAGCTTCTTGATCTTTTTCAACTTAAGCTTAATTTACTGAAGATTATATTCCTCAAAGTACACCATGACATTGGAGGTTATGTGTTATACTTAAAGTTTTAAATTCATGAGTTTAAGTATACTCGTGACACAGATGTAAACTTAAAATGTAGTCTCAAATTATAAATTTATAAAAGCTTACTTTTATTAATAAATAGGCTTTAAAATTACATGACTAAATAATTGAAATGTAAAATATGACCATAATTTAATTTAAATATATTTTAAATATAAATCATTAAAATTAAATCCTTCTATGTTCATATATTATTATACTCAACATACAAATTTCAAAATAGGGCAACTTAATTTTGGTATTTTTGTTTACTTTTTTATTAATATTAGATTTTTTTTTTAGTTTTTTTTATTGAACTGGGTCTTACTACTTCTATAAACCAAGTTCTGCGCAGTATATACCTATTTTACTCAATGAATTTATGAGTTGATTGGTATGATTTTATAAGCTAAAAGCTTAAAAATGGTAGACTCACAAATTTAATTGAATTATATCTAATTTGAGTTTATAAGTAAATTAACACAATTTTGTAAGCTAAAAATGTAAAAATGATAAACTCTAAAAGTGAACTCAAGAGTTTGATAGCAATGATTGTACTCTCTTTAGCAGTTTTTTATTATAAAAACACCTATTATATGCTTTTTTTTATTTTTTTTATAAGCAAAACTATAAATTCAAGAAATATTTATCATATTTTTCTTAAATTGGATTATAGTGATTCCAATACACTAATAATCTTGTTGTAAGTATAATACCAAAACAGAAACGTATTTTTCCCCCATTTCTAAGATTCAAACCTAGGATATTGCTCAGAGAATAATATTGGGGTTCTAACTAACCCAACCATAGTTAATTACACTACTCTTGTTTTTATTCAATACACTAACTATACTACTCTTGTTTTTATTCCTTACACCGCAATCAGATATACTACTTTTGTTTTTATTCATTGCACATGATAAAGCAAAAAACAAGGCTGCCAATCTATGGGCTAAAAGGGAGGCTTTCTCTCAAATCCTTCTTTATCATAACCTAAACAAGCATTTACGCTCTTCTCATTCTCATTCCTTTTTCTTCTTTCCCTTTCGTTTTGGGATCAAATTGGATGAGGAGGATCACAATTCACAAGAAATACTTCACTTTTGGTCCAATAAGGGAAAAAAGAGGGACAAGAAAAGCGAAATTAGAGGGAAACCAGCCACACATACAAATGATATGATGTGATATGAGACTATGGTGTTGGCTTAAGAAGACAAAGTACATAAAAGTCTTGACCCGTGAAGCTTGCATGTGATGATCAAGACCTGTTATAATCACAATTCTTGACCCACTCACGTGTCTCATTTCTGGCTTCTCCATCCAAATCTTGCTCAGCTTAACATGATTTCTGGGAAAACCCCATTATTTTATGCACCAACTTGTCCTCATGATCAATTCAATACAATTACTAGGCTCAAAAAATACTACTAATTAATTTTCTTGAACTTGAAAACAGGGTAGACTCTGCTAGCTAATATCCAATAGTATTGCGTATGAGTATAATAATAATGCAGGGCATGTGTGGATAGTTGAGTGAAATATGATAATAACCTCACAACTAATTGGATTGCTCACATGTGATGTTGCTTTCTTCTTGACGTGTGGCAAGGCCAATAATCTTAACTTCTACTGCTCCATGAACCAATCCTAACCAAAATTCACAAAAAGGAAAAACTAGCTCAGTGCCGTTGGCTGAAAGGGTTGTCATATTTGATATTATTTGTGTCTTTGTCACACAGGACTAGAAGAAATTTACAGTTTCAATTTTGAAGGGAAAAAAATTGGAGAATGAATGATGAATTAAATGCCCGGCATTATAGGGAATATTTTATGCTTATGTGTATGTCTGCACAGTTATGTAATATGCAATCAAATTCTCTCCTTATATAAACATAACTGTCTCTTGTTTTTTGGCAATACAAAGAAGCTCTCTGTTTCTCTCTCTCTCTCTCACTCATTTCTCAGATTACATTTCCTCACATAGCAACAAGAAAATGAGCGGCTTTACTTTCAGGGGCTTCACATTGATGATTTTAACTTCATTCCTTATCTGGTCTTTCAACTTTGAAGCTTGCATTGCGAGAAGAGGTAAGCATTGGAGGCAAAACAGAGGATTCTCTGCATCTCTGTACAAGAAATGGAAGGGTCATGGAGGTAATAATCACAATTACCATAATGGAGGAGGATCAAAACCAAAACCAAAGCCTTCATCACCATCACCATCAACTCCAATTCCTCCAAAACCTTACCACGGCGGCGGCCGCGGTTCTTCTACTGTCTTTAGCGTGCTTGATTTTGCAGCCAAGGGCGATGGAAGTTCTGATGATACAAAGGTAAATCACTGAATCTTTTACTTTCAAAAATGGCTATGTTTCTGTTCATTTTGAATTATCATGGGAATTTACTGGGCATATGAATTGGGAAGAAAAGGTAATCATTGTTCATGACATTTATCTATGAACCAATAATGTTTCAATCATATCAATCATGACGCAACATGGAACACCAACTCATATTTGGTCTTGTTCTAATGTTTGTCCGCTTCTTAAGCTGTTACAGACTACAGTTTAAGCATCAGAATTCAATAGAATGGGGTTGGGAATTTGTTAAAAACATGAAACTGACAGGAACTAGCATTGTAAGGGAAACTTTAGAAGTTGGGAAAATTTTAGGTTTTGGTAATTGCACCCGTGTTCTTTGTCCCAGAAAGCATTCATCTTTTTCTTTTTCAATTTTTCTTTTTTTGGTTGGGGTCCAAAATCACAAGACTAGAATCTTTTCTGGCAGAAGCAGAATAATGAGCCAATATGCCATTGTGTCATAAGGGTTCTATCAGTATTTCTGTTTTCTGTCTTTTTCTCCCATCTATGTCACCTTGAAGTTAATAATTGCCATTAAAGAAAGGTTATTTCCAATAGGGATTTATTATAGGTGAACGCTCATGGTTGTGAAATACTCGAATACATAAAGGTGAAGGCACAAGAAAAATCCAAGGAGGTAGGACCCACTTGGAAAAAAATTCTCGTTAAGACAGTTGCATCCTGTTTCCCACAGCAATTATAAATCACACACACAAGTACAGCCTCACACTTATCCCTATTACTCTAACTATAAATACAGTTTTACAGTTTAATGTTAGCCTTTTTTAAACCCTTATTTTTTAATTAATAATTTAATATGAAAAATCAGGTCAACCCAACCAATTAAACCAATGACTTGGCTAGTTCAATAAAATATTTTATTTATAATTGGTTTGACTATGTTTGGACTATAATTTTGACCATTAAGTGTCAAATCAATGACCTAATTGATTCAATGACTGGATTGGTTTTTAGTACTTAGGTTAATATTAACCTTGGTATAATGCAGGCATTCCAAGACACATGGGCAGCCGCTTGTAAGGTCGAGGCATCAACCATGCTGGTCCCAGCAGATTACGTTTTCAAAGTGGGACCGATTTCATTCTCTGGTCCATACTGTAAACCCAACATAGTTTTTCAGGTAACATACAACCTCAGAATAGATAGCAGAAAAGTTTATCTCAGTCTTCCCAAGCCAAATATCATTCACACATCAATGAAGAAATATCACATTATCAGTAACAGTTACAATATTGTGGCCAGAATAGCTTGCCTGATCCCCATCATAATAATTTACAGCTATAATATCAGCAGCAGTTTTCATAGGCTCATCATGATTTAGAGAACTCTATATAAGTAAGATTCTTTTTTACTGTGGGGAAAGCTAATGAGGTGATATTTTGACAGCTTGATGGCACAATTATTGCCCCAACAGACCCAAAGGCTTGGGGAAGTGGATTGTTACAGTGGTTGGAATTCTCAAAACTAGTGGGAATCACCATTCAAGGGAAGGGAATCATTGATGGAAAAGGATCAGTTTGGTGGCAGAACCAACCATTTGATGATGTTATAGATAATGAAGAAAAGCTTATAGTCCCTTTAAACCACACAACAGTGAGCCCACCAGTGCCGGTAACTATTTGTCCTTGTTGATCTTCACTTCCCACCTTACTCAACAACTTTCTTCCTCCTACTGAATCTAATTGTTTGTGCTTCTGCAACTGTAACAGATTCAGAGTGAGTTGGGTGGGAAAATGCCAAGCATCAAACCAACTGTGAGGACAACCTTAAACTCTTTGAAAGACTGCTGAATTCTGTGAGGGTTGATTTGGTCTCTAATATGATGTTTGTCTTCTTGTTTCTCAGGCTCTCCGGTTCTATGGGAGTATTAATCCAACCGTTACAGGAATAACAATTCAGAATAGCCAACAGTGCCATCTCAAGTTTGACAGCTGCAATGGAGTTTTGGTCCATGATTTGACAGTATCATCTCCTGGTGACAGCCCCAATACAGATGGAATTCACCTTCAGAACTCTAAGGATGTTCTGATTCACACCAGCAGTTTAGCTTGTGGTAAGTTTAATGATCCATTAATGAAAATCTTAAATGAATAATGAAAACTGATATACAGAGCTGAGATGCATGCTGTATTGTATGATCCTTGAAACTGCTTGACATTATCTTATCCTATCCTATCCATGGTAATAATGTCCCATTGCTTCAAAGACTTGTAGCCATCTAGTATATGACACGTGTCAAGTCCAACTCCCCTCATTGCATCATCCAATGTTTATATTAATCTTGTCTTGTTCTGTATTTCTTCTGTTATCTTCTTTGTATTTATTAGAACTTCTGCTTCTCGCTCCTCCTTGTCCTCTCTTTAATTGAGGCCCTACTTAGCAAAGCATATGATGGACACAAAACAAAGGAAAATTCTTAAACAGGCTCAGTTTACAAAATACTTAAAATTCCCACTGGAATTTATCTGAAAGGTACATTACAAGCAGACCCAACGTCAAAACAGATAACAAAAAATAGGAGCGATTAAAAAGTTGAAAATATAATGTAGAATTGTAGATTGCATGTATATGAATACTTCCAGTGGGCCAAGTGAAGCTAAGCTTTCTACATGTTAACTGTTGTGCAGGAGATGATTGCATCTCCATACAAACTGGATGCTCAAATGTATTTGTGCACAATATCAACTGTGGGCCAGGCCATGGAATCAGCATTGGAGGTCTAGGAAAAGATAACACCAGAGCGTGTGTCTCAAACATTACCGTCAGAGACATCAACATGCACAACACAATGACTGGTGTCAGAATCAAAACATGGCAGGTAAAACCTGAGCCACCTGAAAAAAAAAAAAAAACTCTATGGGGGGTCCACATGAGTTTTCTTGAACTTGTTTTCAAACTTGCCACTCTAGCCAAGTACTCAATATGATGAACAAACTCGTTGCCTTATAAATCATACAACATCTTTACAGGGTGGATCAGGGTCAGTTCAGGGAGTGTTCTTCTCAAACATCCAAGTATCTGAAGTCCAACTTCCAATAGTGATTGATCAATTCTACTGTGATAAGAGAACATGCTCAAACAAGACATCAGCAGTGGCTCTTGAAGGAATCAACTATGAGAGAATAAGAGGGACATACACAGTTAAACCAGTACATTTTGCCTGTAGTGATAGTCTACCATGTGTGGATGTTTCTTTAACCTCCATTGAGCTACAACCTCATCAAGAACAATACCACATGTATGATCCATTCTGCTGGCAGGCCTATGGTGAATTGAAAACTCTCACAGTCCCACCTATTGATTGTCTTCAGATTGGGAAGCCAACCAGCAATCATGCTCAAACTGATCATGATTTTTGTTAATGTTAGAGATCACTTCACAGCGTTATATTAGCTAGTTAGATATAAAGCATATGTACACTAATATATATACATAAAAGGTCCTTCTTTATAGGAAATTTTCTTTGTTAAGTCATCTTGATTTGCTGTCATGAGAGTATACTGGCCTGCGGGAGGCCAAGACTAGTGAGTGAGTGAGTGTTGCCTTTATAGTGATATATTAATGTATTTATACCAGCGCTTTCATTTATTTAATGTAATAAAAAAATTGTCATCTTTAGAATTTCAGACTTTTGGGATTCTAATCAAAGGAGAGAAGAAAAGAACTGAATGTGGCCTTGAACATTAGAATCAATTATACGTAGACAGTCTTTATACTAACTCATCCCTGCACATATCCACATCCGGATGCTACAATCTATAAGAAATTGTATTATTCACAAACCATTGCATAATACATTTCTCAAATTCTATATAATACATGGGAAATCATGTCTTAACGCCAAGAGAATGAATATATATATATATATATATATCACTTTTTATATAATCATTTGATTGTATTAGAGTTTAGTATTATCGGGCCCGACTGAGGGAAACTCTCCCAAGGGCATTTTCTGCATGCACCTGAATCTGATACTTCATGCTCAAGTGATCATAACCCATTCTATTAAGACCAACACTATTGATACACACAAACACATTTAAATGTCAAAAACAAGCATTTAATGAAGGCCAATAGTCCATCAAACAGTACTTCAGAGCCCAATAAGATAAAGTTAGGATACATGACATGAGCGAGAATTCGTTCATTTGGTAAAAAGGTGTTTATTTTGGGCCCAAAAAAATACAAATTCATTGCCACCTCCCTGGCCTATATATATATTGGGCCATCTTCATTGACCGATCTGTTATGCCCTCCATTGGGTCAGTAAGGAATGCTTTTTTATAACATTTTAATAGTAATTTCGACATTTCGTGAGTGAGGAAGCTCCTTTTCTTCGCCCAACAAAAAAAGAAGTTATTAAAACAACATCTTATTTATCGTTATTTCATTTTTTACTACCATTACTAACAATAATTATATATTTTTATTTGTCCAAAAAAATTATATATTTTTCAATTTTTTTATTTGGGAGCACAAAAAATGTCATTTATCTTTGTCTTTTATTCTTTTTCATTTTGCGTATCAAACAAGTGTTCAAATTGGTTGCAAGCTAAATATCTCATTCAATTATTTGAAGAGAAACTTATGGCACCCTTAAAGTTAAGGGAGAATGCCGATACTTCAATACAGGAAAATTATAATAGTTGCTTTGTGGTTAAAATTATCTATAAAATAAATTATAAATATTGATTCAAACTGCAAATAAAAATCCTGATTTCAAAGTAAAAGTTAAATAGGAATAATTAATCTTTTGATTCTCCAAGTTTTGACTTGATTATTACTCATTCTCTTAACTGTAACTTATACAATTAGTCTTTGAATTGTTAACTTAGTTAAAACTTGATTTCCTCCATTTAGAAAATTTATCCTTATCATTGATAAATCAAAGCTGAATCACGGTTGAGTTGTTAAACATGGCAAAAGCAGTTGATTCAGCAAGCATAAATCTTCAACGTTAATGGAGTTCAATGCAAGTATGCTTGGAACTTTCTTGGCCAACAAGTCAAATCGCATATTCTTTGTTTTGCCATTTATTTTAAAACAAAAACGGATGGATTTTTTTATGCTTGTAACCAATATTTTATCGTGAGAATGACAAAAAAGTCTTAAAAGGATCATTTAATTTAAATTAGGTTTCAAATATTAAATTTTAAAAATTTACAAGTTCATCTTTTAATTTTGCAGCTGTATTATAATAAATTTACAACTTATTTTTTAATTTTTAACATGATTAAGAATAAAAAAATTTATTTTTCCTATTAAGTTAAAATTTAAAATATAAGTTGTAAGTTCATCAAAACACAATTTTAAAATTAAAATATAAATTTACAAATTCTTAAAATTTAATATTTAAAATTTAATTTAAATTAATTAATCTTTTGGAGACTTTTTGTCATTCTCTTTATTTTATTTAGCATTGTGGCGGTCACTAGAAATTACATAACAACTCTTCTTCATTTAACTTCAATGGAAACCAAAACTATTGAGGCGAAGAAGAGAAGCGTCCTTGGAAGCACCACCAGCCAATTTTTAACAGCGTCATTAACTGTTTTTGCCAAGTTGGATGGTTGGGTGATGACTCAACATAAGTCAGGAATGTTAAGGATTAATTTTTAAAATGCTTGAAAGAAAATCAAATTAATAATTTGGGAATTAAGTTATATTGAGTTATAATTAAGAGATTGAGTTGTATTCGAGTCAAAACTTGAAAAAAAAAAAGATTAATTCTCTCATATAAATTTTTTATTTGTAATTAAAACTCTTAAACAATTATTTGATAATAGTTGTAACCTATCTCTCAAAAAAAATGTTGTCAATGATGTCACTGTTAAAAATTTTTATTTTAGACTTTATTGTCATTCTTCTTGAAGTTAAAGTGGATATAACAATTTAATTAAAAAAATAGAGAGGGTATGACAATTTTTTTTTTGAGCATATGAGATTATGATAACTTACTCTTTCCATTCAATATTATAAGGCATGTTTAGCTAAATTACATTCCTATTAAATTAGTTAATTATTTTTAAAATTATACATTCTTTTCATATTTATTTTTATTTAATAAAGTGTCACAATTAGAAAACTTTATTAATGACATTCTTAATTAAAGGTCTTTTAAAAAAAATCTTATTATTTATACTTTGAAAAACTCAAAATATTTCATATTCTCTCCTTTCTAGATTATAAGATATTTTTGAAAGGAGATTCGACATTTTAAAATATAAGATATTTTAAAAATATCAATGTTTCATTAAATAGATTTATTTTAATATTATTTTTTATTTTTTATTTAATTTATATTCATCTCACTTTTCAATATATTAAATGGCGGATATTTTTAAAAGTCTATATTTTATTTTAAAAAAATAAATTTGTTAAGTATATTTAATAAAACTTCTTGATATGTGAGATTTTATCTAAAAATATTTTATAATTAAAAATAGATGGAGTATTTTTAAACATGATATTTTCAAAAATATCCTTTATAATATGAATAAAATACAGTGACCTTTTTTCTTTTTTTTGCTAAAATTATAAAGGCTTTCCCTTTATTTTCAAAACCTTTATTTTAGTCCAATTTTTAACACTGTTAGGGATATTCTGTTAAAAATTATAAAACACTTAATTTTTTATTTTCAATTAAAATTATAAAAATTAGAAAATGTGTTAAAAAAATTTATTCCTCCACTGGTATAAGGACTTCTAGTGCAATTATTTTTGAAAGTAAAAGGAACAAACTACTCTTCATGAGTGAAAATATGTGTGTTTATAGGAAATTCACAACTGAAGATTTGTAAATAACAATAAAAGTCCAATTAGATTCATTTATTCACAAGAATATATATAAGTTTATACTTATACTAAATAAAATTTATAAGTTAATCAAATAAAATTAATAACAAAAGGTCCATAAAATAATAAGAAAACTCCAATTATTTAGATAAGAAATTCATTTATTCACAATAATTCATGTGTGTTTACACTTGTATTTGATGAGGAGAAAATTTATAAGTTAATAGAAAAATTTACAACAGAAGATTCAAATATAATAAGAAAAATTTAATTGTTTACAACAAAGAGTCTATTTGTTTACATAAAACAGTTTGTGTTTACATTTTAATCATTTTCATTCAATAAGAGTAATTAGGTCATTTCAACAAGAAAAATAACTGCACTTGAGATCTTTGGATTTGCAAGGGAATATCAAAATTTATTGGGCTTGTAAATTATGTGATTCTCCCTTGTCTTATTCTCTCAATTTTTATATATGTAATTAGCTTTAATTTATGTTTATAAAAGTTAAACATCTTCAGTGAAATAATTACTATAGATTCATAAATGAACCAATTGTTCACCGTTTTTTCATAAATCTTGTAGAATTAAAATTTGAATTTAACCTTTCTTCTAACTCTTCAAATTAATTGGGCAATTTGATATAATTGAGAAGATTTAATAGTGCTTGCCATTATTAAATTACAGAATTTAATTAAAAACATCATCCTTCCTTTGGATAATTGGATCAACATCTTATGCCTTAAATCACGATAATTCCTAGCGATTAAAAAGACAATCAAGACTCATATACAAGGCTGGAGCTTTCAATGCCATTTGTTTTTTTTTCCTCACGGAATTGTATTATTATTATTATTATTATTATTATTATTATTATTATTATATCCTTACTTTCCGGATGAATTGTTCCACCATTCAATTGACAGAATCAGATTAGTAATTCTAACAACATTCATATTTAGGAGGGCAATTACTACGAAACATATACTCCTTCCGTTTAAAAATGTAAGATATTTTTTAAAAAGTTGGATATTAAAAAATATAAGGTATTTTTAATTTTTAGAAATATAATCATTATCTTTTTTCAAAAGCGCCCATATTAATAATAACTTTATATCTATCATAGGGTGTTTAATAGGGATAAGTATGTATGGAAAGATAGTGTTAGTTTGAAAGTAAGTAATTTACTTTATTAGGAGGTGAGATTCAGTTAAAAATGCCTTAATTTTTTTAACGGAGAGAATACTCTTTTATTTATTATCATAAGAATTTTTTATGGAATATCATGTTAAAAATATAATGCATTTTGAATTTAGAAAGTGTAATTAATGCAATTATTTTCACAAATGCCTTTAATTAGAGGTGTAATTAATAAATTTTTTAATTGAAATAATTTATTATATAAAATTAAATATAAAAAATTTATAATTTTAAATGTGATTAATAAACTTACCAAAATGCATAAATTAATTAATAGTACCTTATAATTATAATATTGAATCGATAGAGTGAATAGGTTAAAAATTAAGTGTTTCTTACCTTCCCCGATAAGTTATTGGATATAAAGTAGGCACTTGGCATTTAAACCGATGAAAACAGTCTATTTATGCGGCAGAAAACCGTGACACAAAATTGAAAGGAATAAATGACGAGGGATATTTCAACTTCAAATATTTATAAACGGAGAAGACAATGACATCGTTTTTTGAAGAAAAAAAAAGTGTTTAAATGTTATTTTAATAATCATTTGAGCATTTGAGAGCATTGTGAATTGTCAAAACCATGTATTAATGTCTGCATGAGTTTACATTTAATGACGTGAAGAGTA